ATTTCTATGTAAAAGTTTGATCGTCCATTGTGGCCCCATCCTACCCTCGGGGTCATGATTTTAACAATCTTGAAACTACACTACCTGAGAATGATTCCACATGAGATTCATCTTTCCTTTCCCAGTGGTTCTTGAGAAGATTTTTAAAAGATGCCATTAATTTTTCACTAATTTGTAATTATTTCCCCTTGGAAGAGAGCATGTCCCTCCATTTGAACAAACTGGAATCCCTTCACTCAAGGATACTCTGTGCCAAGTTTGGTTGAAATTGGTCCAGTATTTCTGGAGAAGAAGATGAAATTGTGAAAAGTTTACAACGACAACGACGACAGACAACGGACAAATTTCGATCAGAAAAGCTCAATTGAGCCTTCGGGTCAGGTGAGCTAAAAATGTTTATACCCGTTACAATGGTAACATTCTTAGTTTGAATTTTTGAATCTTGATTGCAAATGTATATATTTATTTTGTACCAGCAATGATTTTACATAACAATGTTCTGTAATCTTGATTCTGAGTATCAAAACAATTGAAATTCCTACAGAGAATGACTCTTAACTCTACAAAGGATACATTGGTTGCTATGTGCTCAGAATCGTTGCCATAGGAAAATCAAGTGAAAATATAATTTTATAAGATACTAATTGCATTGTAAAATTTGCCTAATCACAATTTTACGGCATGCTTTGAAGAATCCTTAACAACAGGTACGTGAACATGCTAAAATCATTATTCTATGATGTGTTGCTAAGGGGAAATTGCTGTTACCATGGAGATTACAAATTGTAAAACATTCCATAATTTGCAGAGAGGTCTCAAAAATTTCAATTTATTGTAAAACTTGTTTTGAGTATTCAAAGATAACAAGTTATGTGATTTATGACTTAAGCATTTTACATTTTTTCTCTTTTTATTCATCAAAATATCCATTTTTGTTGCTAGGCAACGGAGGGGAATGTTTAAAAATTATACGCTTCTGAATTCAAATTCTAAAAGACAAAATCCTCTGCTTTTATGTTATGTACACAGGATGTCTGTATGAGGTCCATCACTGGAGTAATTAGACATTGAATAAGTCCAAAATCAGCAAAAAAGGAAAAACATGCATATATTCCCACATCTATCACAGATATATCTTTAAATCTTATTTCTATATTTTTAATTGTGAAAACTGTTAAGATCATTATCTTGAGAATAACAGCAATGAAAAGGAAATTTTTTTAGTATTCACATTTAATTTGAGCCTGAAAGATAAGAGATTTTTTAGTCCATCGAAGCTGAAAATTGGCTGGTTGCTAGGGAAAATTCTTTACCCATGTTTCCATGGTAACCGTGAATCAAAACATTTTTTCTTTTGCATACATGGTTCATAGGGCAAAAGAAAACTATATGTGGAAAAATCATCAAATTCTGAGAACCCTCATATATCACCTACATGCCTATTTTGCATGATTTTTACAAAGAACTGTACTTAACATTTTAAAGTGGTCATCAATTTATTAGTCTCTTGATACCACATAAATAACGAAATTTAAAGCACCACAAAAATTAGTGATTTCACCGTAATTAGTTTTTTGGGCAATGGTACATGTTCAAGTCTATGGTCAATTCAAATATTCCAATTAATAATTTTTCACAATTCAGAAAACCTCGACATTTCAAAAATTCTGTTTCTTTCATAGAACAATCATTTTGCAAAGGTATTCTTTATTTTATCAAATAACCTCCGATATAGAATGATATACCTGTGTAAAGACAATATATCCGCAAGAACAACGACCGGGTTCATATTCTGACGTCAAAAACATCATATATACATGGCATTACCCTTTCAATCTTGGGGTTAAATTTGTCATCAAAGGTAAAGATACTTTAAGCGTAAGTAACATTCTGGGAAAATCAATAACCATATCAGATTTTACGTTTCATTTGCAGGACCATATAGCAAGCTGTTTGTTTAATCTGATGAACCATAGAGAACTAGGATGACTTTTCTAATTACGTGTTATTAAATTAAATCAAGAATTTAATTCGTGTGTGATTTGTTGTATGACAGTAGGAATATATATATATATATATATATATATGGTTGTGCCATTTAGGAGACCGCTCATATTTATATATTGGCATTAAGTAGCCTCGTAGAATAAGTGGACCAAAACCGGTCGCCTTAACATTTTGACCCTCTCTGAACAGAAAATTAATGACTTTTTAATATTAAATTGACAATAGTTAATTTTAGTTTAGTATATTTTTGTCCCTTAAATACAAAAAATATGCCAAAATTTTATGATTATAGAAATTTTTAAATTTAAATTTCAAGCAACGTATATATTGGTATTATTATATATCGTCATTATGTAGACCAGCTAAAACTTGCAAAATTAAATAAGATCTGCTATATATGTCTTATTTCTCCTAGTATTTAGTTTTAGATATTGTTCTCCCACTAATTTTGGGTATGTACAATTTGCTAAATAGAATAAAACTTTTTACGAGAAAATGAGCTTTAGAGTTTCGTGTTCATCAACTTCAAGGTTTTCGTGCGCAATGCCTTCCGAAAATTTTCGGAAATCCTCGGTATCCTTTACGACCTTCGGAGAAATAGGAGTCAGACAAAATTTTGGTAAGTAATAACAAATTATGATTTTTTAAAAATACTTATTCATGATATATTGACTATATATTATGCACCCAATATCTTGCGGTTAACGTCTGGTATTTATTAATTGATAAAGACTTACGTATACTTATTAGCATGGAGGAAATTCGAATTGTAGTTTACCAACAGCGTGGTTTCAACAGATCGTTTGTTTGTTTTGAACATATTTTATTGACATAAGCAAATGGATCGGAAACAAGTTCTTACAATTTACTTGTTCCTAACAATTGATTACATGTACTTGAACAAAATAATTGTAATCTCTGCTTATTCATAAATATATACTGAATAGCATAATATTAGGCTGGTGGTATCGTTCTTGCGGAGATAAATTAAATATTCGATAATTTACCTGAAATACTAACTCTAATTTCCTATTATATGTGGGGTAGGGTTGGGTTGGAAATGGGAGTAAGGTGTTTCTAGGTTCAAACTTTTTTCACAGCCTAATCCAACCAGCCTTTCCTGAACAATTTTAATAGTAAAAGATTAATTGGGGGAGGGGAGGAGCCCCCCCCCCCCCCTCCAACCACGATACCACATCTCTGATGTCTATGGCGGTGGATACATACATGCATATATGTACATACAAATTTATGTATCTGACAGCATCCCCCTTAGATTTCTTGTACATAAAACATAAAGTTGATTTGGACAAGCCCAATATAGCAACAATTTTGAAATATCTTCAAAAATAAAGAGGAATTAAGGGCTACAAACTGCTAAAAAAATCAAAGGGACCAGATTAATATTTTTGATCGGGTTAGAAGTGGGGTTTGGGTGCAGGATGTGTGGAAATATTTTGTGGTGTATATTCCATATAGGCAAAAAGGCTGTAGGCTACACATCATTTTTTTTAAGGATAGAAATTTGGTTGAAAAGGGGGGGGGGGGGGGAAGTTGATGATAAATGTTATCTATTAATTTCATTTTGTTGCAAATGCCAAAAACAGAAGCATTTTTGACAATGCGCATTTTTGTACCCATACTTACAGTCTAACTTTCTGTTTAATGACAAAAATATTCCTATAACTGGAAATAAAAATTAAGCCAAAATTCAAGTATTATATTAGGTCTGCATCAGCCTCCTTGCTTACCCATTATTTGCGCCTCAAGTTAAATCTGTGACATCACACTAGCCGACACATTACATGTAGTAGAAAGTAATAATATTATTATACGCCAATGATATTCTAAACAATCTATTACACTGTACCTTTTGGCATGAATGGAGGATTAATTATAACAGGTTATATCAGAGATGAGCATATCAGTTAATAGTTATATGTAAATACACTTTCCATGATTGAGTAACAAAAGATATACTGTATAATTCTTGCAATATTTTTTCTATAATAGTAGACTCAGTTAACATCACCACCGTTAAAGAGTTTCGATCTACAGCACTGCTGATTTAATTTCTCAGATTTTATTAGAGATCTACAAGTACCTTTACAGGTCACTTAATTAGTACATGTATCTCAAATTTAATTGGGCAAATGAGAATTTTGTCTTTAACAACTTAAATGACTCAAAAATGTATTGCATGTTCAACATGTTCAGGGTAAATTATTTCCTTTATCATGAATTTATTCTAATTTTATGGGAGAATATATTTATAATTATGAAAGTACTAGTAAATCAGTCTACACATAAGTAAAAATTACCTCAACTATTTGAATTACTTTGCAGAATTTATTGCATTGTCTTTATTACTTAACAATCATGTAAAACTTTATTTCATGGCCGTAGGAACGGGGGGGGGGGTTGCTCCCAATAATTTTGCCGAAATATAGAATACTAAAGAAAACATAGCTACTATATGCTTGTGCCCCCTCAATAAAAACGCCTGATGACCTTTTTTTTTTAAGCTTGTCAAGGAATTTTTGGTTGTTAGTGCCCCCCAAAGAAAATGCATGGCTGTCCCCCCTCCCCCAAACTGAAATTGCTTCTTACGGGCCTGTATTTATTGATTTTTTTTTTAATGTTTCATTTATTTATAAACCTATTAAGTGTTTCATTTTGAAAAGAAATATTAGAAGATAATCATAATTTCAGAAAGAAGTTGAAATTAAATAATAAAAGAGACCCTAAGAAAAATTGCTTGTTGTCATTGTCAAGCTTGAACAAGTCCTGATTCATATGAAACAGATCCTGATCAATTTAAGCATTTTTTTTTTTTTTAACATATAATGAAAAAAAATACTGTTTATCTTATGCAGTTGCCATGGAGAAATTAACTTGCTTATACTCTCAATTTAGTTATGAAACCATATAACAAGCAATATTTTTTTTTATTTTAATAAAATTGTTATGCAGAGTCTACATATATTACTTGTATATCTACATATGTAGATTAGAAACTTTCGGTCGGGTTCAGTTTAATTTTGATCGGGTTAGTTAATACATTGTTGAGTCTTTTGATCAGCATGGACATGGTTTGATGGTATGATAATATTTTTACAGTTTCAATTTCTAAACTTTCCAGGAAAGTTTAATTCCTGCATTTTGTACAATGGCTATATATATGCCGTATATTTTCCCATGAATTTTATTTTGAAATTATATTTTTAAAATTCTGACAAGATTAGATGTCTGAGGAAATTTTAACTGCCTAGGGTGAGATATATGACAGTCTGAGACATTTTAAACCAAGTCTCTGAATAAATTAGATTTTGTTGACTTGTTTGCATTTATGCATTTATTTTTATTATAGTGTGTTCGGTACCACATAACATGCGAGAATACCTTCTCCGGTATGTTGGAGAGAAGATTAGCAAGAAAAAATCGCGTGAGAAAATGAGAAGTTGACAGAAAAAGATTTTTTTCATTATCGAAAGAGACATGTACAACATCCATAATGGTAAGAAAAGATAATTATTTATAGTCATATTTATTTGTTTCTATAATGTTTCTTTCGATAACTTTTCACTCATATTGAAAAGCCAGCACTTGAGAACCTCTGTACTCAGTACCTTTGAGCAATGAGTAATTTTGTTCATGCCAGCACCTACTACAACATGGGACCTCAGTTTCATTTGAACACCGGTCTCCACATCCTGCAGTGGGATTTGAACCTGTGATGTTAGGATCAACTCCTTTATCTGTGACTCTAAAGCAAACACTTAAACCACTGCGCCATGCAAGCAGCTAGTCATACATGTATTCCTTATGATGTGAGCTAGCATTATGAAAATTACATGTGCTGTAGATCATAGGTTGCTACATAGTTCTTTGTATGTTGCGCTAAAAAAATATGGTGTTCATCAATGATTCATTTTGGTGTGCATCCTGCGTAAATTATGCACAAATTTTGCTCAGGACGCATTATTTTAATAAATGTGCATCCCAATGGACGCAATAAATTTATAGAAGAACGTGTATTATTTGGTATAATCCGATTTTAAACTTGACCGATTGCATCATATCCATGTGCTAAGCGATATGCATGAACAATTTTAACAGGTATATATAAGGTTGCCAACAACAGGTCAGATTTCACAATTGCAGCCAATTAACCAGCAATTATCAGAAAATATTTGAAAGTTAGATAACATAGTTCGATTATCACTGATTATGTCTATACTGTGGAACATTTCTGAAGAGAATACTATACCTTTGTAAAAGCTATACATGTAACCTGTATCATTTTTTTTTTCCTTACAAGCTAAGAAGTTTAAAATTTAATCATTTTTATTTCTGACTGTTTTTTCATTTCTTCTTAAAATTTCTTTGCTTCATTCTGCTTCTGTGCATTTTATGACTGATACATTACAAATGTGTGAGATCGTATGTACGATCTAAAAATAGAACCAAAGTGCACAGTTGACAATATATTATATTTATGACACAAAATCATGTACTCTTACTTGGACAATTGATAGTAAAATTATAAAACTACTCACAGCAACAATAAAGCATTTGCTCTTTCATGAAATAACTTTTTATATTTCACCAGAATTTCCTCTGTAATATCTAATATATGACCCTTGGATTTGGATGCTCTGATTTTGTCATGGGACTCATTGTTGTCATTAAGGGGGGTCCTTTGGACCCATGATAACCATTTTCAAAATGAATCACTGGTTCATAGGTCTGGGACTAAAAGTTTATGAGGACATACTGTCTTAATATCACCCACCCATTACCATCTGATCAGCATGATCAGTACTATTAAGCAGGAAAACAAATATTTGAAGAGACATACTGTAAAAATAATTTTGTAAGATATTGGAAAACATGTAATTTTGGAAGTAGATTGACATATAAGTATATAATTTTTTTTTGTGGATAACAGTTGATTAGGGTAGGTGGTCACTGGTGTGATTTTGACCCATTATCTGATTATTTTTCATACTTAAGTTTTGTTCGAGTATATGTCAGTGTTTGTTATGCTACAACGTTTTTTGGGTAATTTTCTCTATGGAATACCTTTTTACAAGATTTCTTCTTTTTTTTGGAATTATTGAATTTGCGAAATACATGTGTTCGACTTACAAGATATATGTGTTGGGTTATTTCTAGTTAGAACAATCTAACTTTGTCTCGGAACAAGCCCTCGATCACCACAGTTAGAATATGTCCCATATACTAGCAATGTAGCATATTGGAAAGGATCTGCTCAGAAATGATTTTGAAGAATACAAAAAAAATTGCACTGAAAATAACTATCAAATTAATCATAACAAACCTTTTTGAGATTTTATATGCCTTTTAACCTAAAAAATAATCCATAGAAATAAGAAAATTCAACTCATTTTCTCAACCTTTTTTCCTCACTTCAAAGGACAAGGTATGGTAACGGCAGAATCTGGCCCCTTATTTGATGTAAAAATCAGAACATAGTTAAAATAGTGATAGTTTGTAGTTAAGAACTAAAAATGATGCTTGTTTTAAAACCAGCACTAATTTTGATTCAAAGCTTACATGGAGACCAGAAGAGGGTGCAGAAGTAGGACAATTTCCTGAATTTTCTCAATTCTATTGGAATATCCTCAAATTTGATATACTTTTCACTTCGGGAAATATAGAGCACAAGCTTGCCCATCTGAGATTTTTATACATAAGATGCATCTGATACTAGTATTTATTATATACCCAACAGTGTATCACTCAATTTTACTGTAGATTTTGTACAATCACGTGACGGTGTGATCCGACTTTCCGGATCACCACACTGTGGTTTTCTGAATCCATATCAGCCCTCTCTGAAATTGATGACGTAGTACACAGAAACATGACGTTATTTTTCTTGCGCATCAAAAAGTCCCTTGACAGAATGCTTTGTTTAATGGAAAAATATTAAATAATTAATCTCAGAAGTTTTTAAAACTATATCTTGTTAGTTGTAAGGGGGTATATAATAAATTTATCATTATAACAGTAACTTGATCCGAAGAGCCGTATCACGTCTCGTTGACAGGCGCGGATCATCAGATCAAACTCGACGCTTCGCGTCTCGTTTGATCTGATGATCCGCGCCTGTCAACTCAACGTGATACGACTCTTTGGATCAAGTAACTGTTATAATAATATATATATGAAATATATAAATTTGGTAGATAGGCAAGCTTGTGCTCTATGTTTTCTGAAACAAAATGTGCTGTAAAATCGATGAACATTTGCATAAAATGAGAAAATTCGGAAATTGACATATTTTCTGATCTTCCTGTGACTTGTATGTATCATATAACTTAGAACCAATACTCATTTTCTGGCAGGGGTGACAACAGGTTTCTATTGATAAACTGTTGTATCATTCTAAACAACACCCCAAACCAGGGGCCAAAAAGGGGTCTTAGCCTATCTTGTCCTTTACACGCCATGTTGAATTCGGAACTCTCTGGATTGTTCATAGAAAATGCAGTCAGTTCGAGTTATCGAACTTGCTTATTTTGATAAATTGCCAATACACGGAACGTAGGACAATATCATTTTAATGATTAGAACATTCTAATCTAGGTTATTGAGATCACAGCAACAATATATAATCAAAATTAAAATTGAAATTATAATTCGCATCATCTCTTTTAAAAAAGAAAATATAAATTCATATTATTTTGTAAAACCAAAAAATATTGGTTTAAATATTATACTGACAATAAAAAAAAAGAGACAATAATTCTCAAATTATGAATAACTTTAAAACATTGAGTGCACCTACAAGCACAGATCCCATGATTTGTAATATAATGCACACACAGGCATGTAAATCAAACATACAGATTTTCACTGATTAGCTAATATACATGTAGAACTAGTTTCAACTAAATACTCGTACAAATACAAAAGAAAAAAATAATTATTTTCCAAGCAAATAAAATGAAGAAATTAAAAGTTTTTGATTTTATTTTGATTTAAAAATTATCAAAGAATATTTAAGTCGAACTTCATGAAAAAGAAAAGCTGAAATCAAAATATTTGTATCAATTTAAATGTCATGCTTGATAAATTTTGGAAATACTGACAGATACACCCTTGCATAACACATATACATGACTAAAATTGTAAATTTTTAGAGACTTTGGATATGCATGGTGTCAAACTTTGTCTCATTTTAATATAAAATGAAAAAATTATAACTGATTAAAGATATTGTGATCTGTATTGTAGCATAAATATTGTGATACCTAATATAGTATATTAGATATAGAATAGTAGACGAAAGTGTATTATCCCAGCCCTTTATATTTGCAGTGCAGTATAAAACAGTTCAATTATATAATAATGAAGTCAAGAGAATATGGACATGATTATATGTAAATTAATAGATTTTGTTTTCATTTTTGCAGGTGTGTCTGATGGAATTTGTCATTTCATTAATAAATAATGCTGATAAAGATGCAAACTTAGCAATTGTGCCTAAAAAGTGACAGCTTTGACAAAGAAATATATCCATATATAACAGTTACTGGTACTGTATGAATGCAGTGAAAGGATCCAGATGAACAAATGAAGAGATTAAGTACAATGTACATCAATTACTTGGATGAAGAGAATCTGCAACATGGGGTAAGGTATATTTGCTGCTTTATTAGTTATAAACTGTAAATAAATTGTTAGCAGAAAATAGACACAAAAGCTTTAATTAAAGCAAATCAGGGGTAAATACTAACTTTTAAAGCATGCAGATACTCAGTGATAGACTGATAGTTTGATAGTATCATAAAAACCAAAAGAACTTCAGTGACTTTGAATTCCTGATAGCCCTAGCTGTTAATGAACTAGTTGCCCATTACAGCCTTTGGCTGCTTATGGAGTCATGAAGTGATTGTTGGGGGAGGAGGAAATGAATTCCCAGTGGAGATGGGTATGAAGGTTAAAAATAGGGCCACAAAGAACCAGGTTATGGTGAGGCAGACTTGCCTCCTTACATTTTATTGTAATTATTTAACCCTTCACTCTTTATGAGTGAAATAATTCTCGAATGGACATAAAACAACACTCAATCAACCGGTCACACTTCACTGGCTGTTCACAGCACTTGTTGCTCTGTACTGGGCACTACTGGCTCACTTAAGCAGGTTAAGTTCAGTTTGGTGTTTACTAGTCATTCCAATGATAAATAAGTCTGAAGAACATTTTTTGTGAGTCGACTGCACAGCAGTGCAACACCTAGGGATCAATTTACCTGGCATCTGTCTGTCTGTCCATCTGTCACACCTTATATCTCAAGAATTGTAAGAGGTTTAATTGTTTTTGATATTTGGTTAATATTTTGCTTGGCACTCTGACTTTTTTTAAATACCATGGTTGCCAATCTTGTGACCCTTGAACTTACCTTTGACCTACTTATAAAAAAATTTAAAGTGCCAATATTCAGCATATTTTTGATAATTTAAAAGAGGTAAGTCTATGCTATTAATAGCATGTGCACAATTTATCATAAATTATAATGAAAAATACCAGCATTATAGTTCACTTGACTTTGACCTTTGTTTTACTTTTCAAAAAATATTTTGAATGGTTAATTTAACTTAAATGTTTTGATTTTCTAGAAGTAGTGTTTTGATAATTAGCATTGATGAGCTCATGACACTCTACTTTGAAACTTTTTGATATCCAGTTATCACACAAACTAAAACTTAAATCCTAGTATGAAAACAAATCGGGATCAGTATACCACAATGGGTGGTAATGTAGACTGACAATTGCAGTAAAGACAGCCTGAAATCTCTTTAGAAAAAAACTGTTGAAAAGATTATTGACCATTATATGGTGACATCTCTATTTTAGTGAAAAATTCTTAAACAGGATGTAAAACGACATACAATTAAACAATCAATCCAACTACTGAGTGAGCTTTCTCGCTTGTGAACTACCAATTATGTCCAATTGGAAGTAATATTTGAATGTTTTAAAATGTGATTGTACATTGTAGGAAATAATGTTCCTATAGAAAAGTCAAAGAATGTATACATGTGAGATTCTGAAGTAGCCGTGCATGATGAGTAGGAATTTGAAGTGAATTATGGGAAAAGGTATGTAATCCATTAGTTTGCTTTTAAAAGTTAGTGATTTTAAATATGAACACACTGTGTAAAAGGAATTTTTCCGCAATATTCCTTTATTCACGCTATATTGTAGGGTCCCTATATAAGCCACTCACTTAGTCACTGTTCAGTGTAATCTGTTGTCACCTGTCTGTATAGACAGACTGACGTATGCTACATAGCTCTGGGTAGCAGCAAAAAATTACTGTGTACTTCTTTCACGGCAGGAGAGAAAGATGCCAATGAAACTTACAACAGTCGCACAGGTCAGTGCAGTATACAAACTACACGAGTACACATAACTGCAATAAAATAAATAAACAAAGGCAATGCAAGATAACCAGCATGAGCATGTGTCACCATTCCACTCCGATACCTGTGACAATAAAGCAGTCAGGTGTAACAAATGCGAAAAGTATACCCTGGTGCTGATATAGTAGATGATATATAATCGAATATGGTGTATGCCTATTTATGAGTTGTGGTCAGCTTTAATTGATTGTTTTTCTCTGACTATATGTACCATAGGTCATAGTCATTTATGGTATATACAGTGGCGCCATGTTTAACCGAACACTCCACCTTCCAGATGCTATTTTGCGGGAATAGATTTTTTCCATGTCATTCTGTCTCATTAATCCAGAAATTCGTGTTCCACATCCGAACGGTCGATTTCTACTACAAAACGTAATAGTTCATTGAAAAATGACTCGTTTATCCGTATGGTAATTTTTCAAGAAATGACTTTTTCATACTTATCTTCAGGGGTTGAAATTTTCCTGGAAATCCCACCAGCCCAGGGGCTACTGATTAGGAAAAAATTACTAGCCCAAATAAGAAACAGTTCAAAATTAATCAATATTATTTTTAACAAACTTAAGCCAAAGAGGCGTCCGGATAAACAAGGCACCACTGTATATATCTATAATACATGCATATAAATGTACTTGCTATTAACAGTGAGTACAGTAAAAATTTTCCCATTAAGTATATTAATTTTTTCTATGTGGTTTACTTTATGCCCAATTATCAGCAGTTTCCATAATTGCCATATTTAAGTATAAGAACTAGGTTGCTATAGCAGACAAAAGGTAAATATAAAAAATCTAAAGTGCAAGGTACTTTATCACTGATTGAATGTTAATTAGGGCCTGCATGAAATGTTAAAGCTATATAGGATTCACATTCTCCATCTTTATATGTCTTTCAGCCAGCAATTAACACTTCAGTTGTGACACAATAAACAAGTTTTAGTTTATGCAGTGTAATACTATACAGGGTATTGATGCATACAGTAAATGAGATCATTAGAATGGTGTATTTATATACTGTATATACTTGATATCAACAATTTTTCTCAGTGGTCTACTTTATGCCCAATTATAAGTGCATGGTCTCCTCAATGGCCATATTTAAGTATAACATATGTATAAGTACAGGTTGCTATAGCAGACAAAGGTAAATATAAAAATCTAAGTGCAAGGTACTTTATCACTGATTGAATGTTAATTAGGGCCTGCATGAAATGATAAAGCTCTATAGGATTCACATATTGTCCATCTTTATGTCTTTCAGTCCAGCAACACTTCAGTTGTGACACAATAAATAAGTTTTAATTTGATATGCAGTATAATATAATACAGGGTATTGATGCATATAGTGAATAAGATCATTAGAATGGTATATTTATATACTGTATATACTTGATATCAAGGGTTAATTCAATTAACTCAATTTTTCTCACTGGTCTACTTTATGCCTAATTATAAGTGGTCTCCTCAATGGCCATATTTAAGTACATGTATAAGTACAGGTTACCATTGAAGACAAAAGGCATATACAAAACTCTAAAGACCATGATACTTTGATACTGACTGAATACTGATCTGGACCCTTGAAAAGCACTTAGTCTTTGTCTTATTTATATGACAATGTGTGGTTTGATATAAGTTAACTGAATTACCTAGGTAACCATGGTAACATATTTCTATCTGTTTTTGGATGTTTTTGCATAAGCAAGGGCTTGGGTCATGCATAAACTTTTCACATTTTTCAACTTCTTCTCAAGAACTACTGGACAAGTTTAAACCAAACTTGTCACAAAGTATCTTTGGAATAAGGATGGCAATGATTAACTGGTTTATTAACTATTAAGAAAGATCATAACCAGTTAAAATTTTCATAACCAGTTTTGTAACCAGTTACAATTTACATACTAACCACTTAGTAGATACAGTAGCTGCAACGTTATTGTTGACAACTTAGACGAACGATTCCGCACGATTCACACACGATAAAATCTGTTACACGAACGATCCTTCACACACACGATTCTACACGTTACACAATCTTACACGATTGCTAACGGAAACGCACGATTCTTAACGCAAAATAGTTCAAATTCTTTAGGAATGGATATTTTCAAAAAGAAATATGGCTTAATACTTATCTTAGATTTCAAATAATGATTGATTTTATTTCATCGACTTTGAAAAATGAAAAAAAAAAATAGAAATGGATATTTCTGGAACTAAATACATGTAAGATTTATGAATTATTTTAGATTACAAAAAATTATTTATGTAATTCTCTGACTTTAGAAAACTGATTGTTTTTTTCTCGTTCTATCAGAAGATGTACATGTAGGTGGACCGTGAGTTTTGATTAAATTGGATTTCATAATATGCAGAAAGGGATAAGTTTGAAAAAAATGGCATGAAAATGAATTAAATTATAAGTTATATCCACATTTCAATTTGTGAATCTCTAAAATCAACAATTATTTTACAAATCATTTATTTGCAGAAATTAAAAAAAATAATCAAAAGTAACCTCCAGAGATAACACTGATAAACGAAACCCCGAGAATCATGTCGTGTAAATGTACATTCACCGACTAAATACTTATGTAAGCATTGAGAATTATTTATTTGTAAAAATGTTTATTTTTGATCTATTGATTTTAAAAATATCTTGACCATAATTAGCAATAAATATAATTAACATCAGAGAAAAAAATCAAACATCTAAGTACGGTTTATCAGAAAAAAAATCATGCTATTTGACGAGAACACAATATTGTACGACTTACTATATTGTTTATTTCCAAGCGATAATTAGTTCATTCTGTTTTCAGTTATGTAAATCGCGCTTCATTTCTTTTTAATTTGGATTGAAAAAAAAAACCAGACAAGTGAAATGCTTGTATAACAAAAACATTCCAATAAAAACTTACAAAACAAAATTTACACGTTTCTTAACGCACGATCACGCACGATTAAAACCGCAAACGATTGAGTCTGATACACGCACGATCTCGCACGTTACACGAACGATCACGCATGTTACACGAACGATTCTACACGATTCTTTTGTCAACAATAACGTTGCAGCCACTGGCAATCGAATACAGAATTGCAAATCGGTTAACCGCAAAATGTTCCGACCAATTAACCGGTTAATCGTATCAAACTACACAATGTCATTTTCTTGACTTTTTTCAAGTACCTCTATTCCTATGCACAAGAAGTCTTTAAAAAGTTGTTAGATGTCAAAATCATTCTATTTGTCTTTCTTGATCATAAAACTACGCGCATATTTTTTTTCAATAGACAAGAAAAAATTCAGAAAACCATGAACCATGCCTGAGATATCGTGGATAATTTTCATGAGCGGATGTCACACAAGTTCATTCTTCATTATCACCATAATCAAAACTAAGTCTAAATTGTATCACTTAAGGGGAAGAAGGACCTTGAGCTCAAAAAAATCCTTGTCATTCAATTTTTTTCATATTTTGTATATTTCTAATTTAGTATGTCCCACATATCTTAAAGCAGTTTTATCATTAGGTTTCTGACCTTATTTTAGAGATATTGATTGACAAATACTATGCCCTGCAGTATCTAAGTGGAGTTTTAATTCTTTATGTTTCCGGGCCCAATACTCTGTCCATAATGGGATTTTTTAAGCATATATAAAAAAATATGCAAGTGGACATGTATCTCTTAAAATATTTCAGAGTATGAATAGGTTTAAAATTCGAAAAAGCAATTTTATCCTGTCACACCGCATCTGGATAGGGAAAATTACGTACTTTTTGAGACAACTTAAACAACAAAAAAAAACGTAATTTACAAAAAATTCTATCATTCAATATTTTTAAATTTATGTTGAAATGCAAGTCCTTCAAATTATTGGTTAACTTTAAAAATTTTGAATGGTGAAGCTGACCTTAATATTGCACAGGACATCATTACAGAGGACATAAGCATGACAAAACGTGTCATATTTACATTTCTTGAGTACGGGAAAAACCAACTATGACGTCACACGTAAGCTAAATAAGCGAAATAAGGTATGCCTACATAAGATTTCTGTCATCAGCCATGCAATCATAATTTTTATTTTCCCCGTTTCTCAAAATATTTCATCACATACTGATTATGACCTGATTTTACATAATAATACCGCCCCTGTATTCACTGAGTATGATCTTGCTGTACTAATAGATCGTGTATGACGTCACCGACTTATGGACGCGCAGTTTAGGGAAACAGAGGAGTGGATCAATCTTTTTCATAATTTGTTAATGTTTACATGAATGTTAAAACTTTTTACTTTTTTATATAAGATGGCAATTTAAGTTAAAAAAAAAAATGTCAAAAAATTATACAAGAACTGATGCTTTACACGTTTTGGACTTATATAAACGGAGATTATGACGTAGATAAAAAGAGTCATGTGACCATGTGTCCTTCATCCCCTTAATTTACAATGTTTGTATTATAATCTAATGTGATAGATAACTGCAAAAGATACACACACACCAATTCATGGTGCTCAACGGTGATTATTATCATTAAAGAATTAGAGGACAGTCGGGGTAACGACATGATGTTTTAACAGTAATTAACATATCTCAGACTGACCAATTACCCCACAATTTTAATCTGGAGAGCCATAATGACCTCCCAATCAGCCTAAATAAATAAATGAAAACGCTAAATTAAATGTTTAGGTAGGAATTTCTATTTTGAAAATGAATTTTAGTACATTGCCTTCAGTTTTACATATATTATAATTTTTTTACGACTAATCGATTGCAGATTTTCTAACCGATTGCCATCGTTCCAACCGAGTAATCAGTTAACCGGTTAGAAATTGCCATCCCTAGTAAATAGTTTTTGTCAATGAGTATTTGTATTTACTTTTTCAATAATATTTTCATATTTTGAAATAAAACTTGTAACATGTTTCAAACTGAAACGTGACAAGCAAGCAGTTACCATATCTTGCCGAATATAATATGCATTGGTTTAAATATGCACCCCCTTTTTCAGCCTGATAACTTGGGGAAAATTGCAGCTCGGTTGTAAAGATTATTTGCTACAAAATCTTATTTCGTACAGGGCACAAAATTATTTAAACATTAAGATTTTAACAGACTTGAAATTTCTTTGACAATAACTTAAAGATAAGTCACTTAACATATGTGTTGTAATCAACACACACCCAAAGCTTAAAAAAATGAAGAACGAAGGTTATAAATCGACCTCTCAAATATGAAACAGGGGCTCTCAATTGTCTATAATTGGGGGCGTTCAAGGGCCCCACTCCCAATTCAAAAAAAAGGTGCCTTTTTTCCCAATAAATGTGTTAATTTTCCCAATAGTAATTTCTCCCAAAAATTAAAGAAAATATAGCTGGATATATACCGGTAATAACTTAACTTGCTATTCATATTCCTCTGTTTTATAAAACAAATTTAGTTGATAACGAAGACCGGAAACCCAATATATATGATTTTAAAGTACGTATAATGGTTATTCCAAAATTTCCTAAAAGGTCTTTATTTTCCCAATCTTCCCAAAAAGCAGTGTGAAAATGAAAACAATTATATGTACAGCAAATAAGAAGTGCCCTATCTTGTCAAAAATGTGATTGGAATAGATAGACCATTTCTTTATCCAGGTGAATATCATTACCGCTACATTTTCAAAATGGTAATTATTTACCGCTACATACTCATTACCGCTGCAAAAAATGTACACATTACCACTACATTTAAAAGTTTACATTACGAATACATTGCCTCTTTCATTAGCCAATGGATTATGCATGTACAGATTGATACAAAGTACATGTACAACATATCCAAGCATAAGACCTTTTTCCACTGCTCACCATGGGAGACGAAAGTAGGGCTTAACAGGGTGGCTTTTTCCCACTTTTTTATTAGTCCCCTACCAGTGAAACCAGGGAATTATAGGTTTCCTCTGAGTCTGTCCATCTGTCTGTCTGTCCCTCTTTCAGTCTGTCCCATTTGTTTTCCGCACTTTTTTCTAAACGCTTGCAGATATTGAGCTGAGTTTTGGTATGTAAGTGTATCTTGATGAGTTACAGTTCAAGTTTGCATTTTGTTATACTTCTTAATCAATGATTTTTAATGGAATTGTGACAATTCAATTTTTAGTGGGAACCAGATTACACTTGCCGGTAGGGGACTAGTATTGCTAATGCAATACTCTCAAAATGCTTGTTTAATCTTAATTATAGTAGGTATTTAAGTATGCAAGTACAATACTGTACATATAAATGCTTGTTCAAAATAAAGTTTTTCTCGTAATTTCAGCCCAATGCAACAGAAACTAAAAATTCAAGAACCTGTTGGTAATTAATCTGATGTTTTTTAAATAGATTGATCGAAAGTACATGCAATATAATTCATACTATATAAAGGTGCAGTGTTTAATTGATTTGTTACAAAAAAGAGCAATGAACATATCACCAATGCTAATGTAGTGGTAAATATTTTTAATATTTAATAAGTTCCACATTTTTTTTTCACAGTGAAATGGTAAAAAAGAAACTGCTAGCGCTACTGTGCAGACTACCATCAATCAACATGATCAACAAAATCAAGTAATCCTTCTGAGTAAGTGACCTGTAGTATTATCTGTTTTCACCTAGGCCAATATGAGAAGGATGAAAGTTATTATACTCAATACACAAGTTTGGAGATTGTAGCTCTTCAACAAGAGAAACACAAAAAGAAGCCATATCCGCATGAAAGTGGCAGAGATTGTTGATAAAGTATACACAATCATGATTAAATAAATGTCAAAATGATGGCTTAATTAGGGCCTTTTAAAATGTAATTAATATTAAAGAAAGATTAATATACATGCATATTATGTCAAGCAATGATGATTTTGGGGATCATATTGAGCTATACTTTAGTAATACAGGTTTTTGGATGCTTGAGTCTCTGATTGACAATATATATATGTAGTTTTTGGAGACCAGGTCTTCCAGTAATCTGTCAGAATTCCCATGGGTACCAATTGCAACTTGTTGTTAGGCTAGCAGACCTCTTTTTATATTAATATGAAGCAGAATTTATTCAAAATCTTACACATGAGAAGAAGAAAACACTTGCTGTGGTCTTGAACTCGACAGTGAGATATATCGATGATATATTATCAATTAACAACAGTTATTTCCATTCATATGTCAACTATATATATTATACCCCAGTGAGCTTGAAATAAAAGATACCACAGAGTCTGACACATCTGTTTCATGTTTGGATATTATTTATTTCCATCTCTAATTAAAATTTTATAAATTAATTATGTACATGTAATATTAAATGCATGTTTCTTGGAAAGTAATGTTTTAAGTGTTTCCTTACTACTATTAAGGATTTTCATGGTATATCAGATTCTTGTTTATTATCCTTTTCTAAGTGTTACTTTTCTCTAAGCAGTAAACAGGCAGTTGTATCACTAATGATAGGTGGAGACACATATGAAGTTACCTACAGTTACAGCCAAGGTTTAATGAAGAATCATCTGGAGCCTGGCAGTAAGAGTGACAGTCGGCAGTGGATACTCACTCCTCTAAGGCACCTGATCCCACCTTGGTTGTTTTTGAGGTAGAGGTTGCTCTGCTCAAATCATAATTTGAATGGACTTTTGAGCTTAAATACTATTCATTGTCTCCATATTTCGTTTTATAAAATCTAGTTTTAATTAGGATGATTGAAAACAAATGAATCATCAATCCCTTTGAGAGAAGACACTTCCTAGATTGTACAAATTTATTCTAAAAAAAAAAAATAGTGGAATCTTTAAAATTATTACGAGGGGAAAGAGTCAGTGTTTCATTTAGAATCCTGACGTGCAGTGATCAGATGCCTATATATTAGAGATCCATTTTTCTTTCTTCGTATTATTATAAGATTTTTCCAGTGTGTTTTTTTCCCCAGATATTTTTGGTATTTATTATTTAAATTTTGAGCTGATTAGTGCATCCAAATAAACAGTTATAGACCAGTATATTGAACATGTCCTACTAGCAGGTTTGTGAAATATATGGAGATAACAAACAGTATTAAAGCTCAAAAGTTCGTTCAAACAATACAATTCAGGAGCAGAACAATACGGACCTCTAAAACATCAGAGGTGGGATCAGGTGCCATGGAGGAGTGACCATCCCCTGCTGACCAGTCACACGCGCGGTGTGCTTCCTGTCATGATCCGGGAAAAATTAGAAAAATCTGTATGTGTGTAAATAATGGCCTGGAAATTAGATTTAAAACGTCAATCAGCACTTGACTTAATGATAGATTGTATTTTCTGACAAGTACAAGGTCATTGTATCGACCATATAACTATTGTAATGATGACTTTAAACAAGACTGATGATATTCTTGTTTCATCAACTTGTTTGTCAATAACTTACTTTGTTTTAGAAATTGTTCATAGGTAGAGCATGCTCTTGCGTATCGAATCAACAGAGAGATATGAACCCTGTATGCAGGTGATGAGGGTATATTGCTGCATAAGTAAGGGAAGTTAATGATTGAAAAGTTAGTCATAAAGGTTTGTTGTTAGGTATTAACCTCTTTTTATAGAAAATTATCAAAATATGAAACAGATGTGTCAGACTCCAGGGATAGACTTTAACTTTCATATTCACTTGTCCTTTGGGACAACAAATTTTGACTTGTCCAAATGCAAAACTTGGTTGCCCAAACCTTAGAAAGAAGAAAATACGGGTAATTTAATTTATGTGCAATAAAGTACTTTCTATTGGCAAGTTAACTGCCAAGAAAAAATGTTGATGTGTCAGTTATCCTACAATTGTAAATTCTGTACATGTATACCACTGTCCTTTCATTTATCCTGAAAACTTGCACTGCCATGCAGCAGTATATATTTTCTTTAAAATAAAATTCATATTTTAAATATATATATATTATTTTGAGTTTTTTCTCTGGAAAACTGAGGCCACACTAAAGGAAAACAGTTGTTATGTTTTGAAACATACATATCCTGATCAGAATACATTGTTTGCCGAGAATTAATAACTGGTGTTCTCTGAGTGAAAAAACAAACTATTCTTGTTTAAGAAACTATTTTTGATATGTTCTTGGCAGAAAGTGTTATTGTTTTGTTTAAAACTAATGCAAGATATGAAAAAAAAAAAGAAGTTTTTATCTGAAATATTCACTTGCCCAATCGGACAAGTACATTGGCATTTTCACTTGCCTTAACTGGGAATTAACTTGCCCCGGGCAATCGGACAACGGTTAATGTCGATCCCTGGACTCTGTGGTATCTTTAAATTATCAAGCTCATTGGGATAATTGTGTTGAAATATGAATGGAAATAATTAATACCGTAAAGTCACGTGTATCGGACGCACTTTTTTTTTCAGAAAAATTGTTCAAAAGTGTGGGTGCGTGCATTACATAGGAACTAAATTCAACCCCTTTTTCTGGACATTTTTTCTTAACTCTTATGAGTGATTTTCACTGTTACCACATTGTAAGTTTATTACATATTATTCCCCAATTCTTGAATGATAGTCACGTATGACAGATCGCTGATAAATAAATCAACAAACAGAAATATAAAAAGATATTTCCATTAAAATATTATTCAAAATTAAATATATATATATGTATATTTAAAATAAATTATTGCAGCCCGGAGGACCGGGCTGCTCTATACATATAAGTTTAAGTGTTGGTATATGGGGATTGAGGTGGGAGAAGTTATTCAGAATTAAAGGTTTTCTAAACATTAAAAACATTGTTTATCAGAATGTTCTTTCCCTTTATAAATTACGAGATACACAATATATTTACTTCCATAAAGTGAATCTATAAAATATATATGTTTTTCATATTTAATACATAAAGTTGCTTATCATTTACTATCGAAAAAACGACAGGTCCCTTTTTTTAGAACATCGAATTTTACTTATCGCATAAAAACGTAAAAACGTACTTTACACAGTTCGTGTTTTATATTCTTAAAGTGAAAGACATTTTTGAAAATAGGTGATGCATTTGTCTGGTTTCAATTTATATTTTATGCAGCCAACATTTACTTGAGGAATTGATAAAGTTTAAAAGGGTGTCGTTTTTTGTTCGAATTTCATCCGACTATAAGTTTTCAAAATATTCTCGACTATCGTCTCCATCATTTAGATGCATGCCTTTGTCACACATATCGAAGCGGTTTGATGATCAAGACTCATTTCCATTGTTTACTTTATTAATTTCCCGGGCGACAATTGATGGTTACATCAATGTTTTCTTGTCTTTTTCTAACTTGGATATCATCACTGCCAAATTTAACTCCTCTCGACCCTAATGTAGGTCATATTTATTTATATAACAATTTCCGGCCATTTGGTTTTGAAACAACTGCCATTTTAAACAATACACTTGTAATCAGTAAAGTTTATTTAATGATAAATATTTTACACACCTTTTTAGTTACCTGGTATCACTTGTATACATAAGTGTGACATTAATTACGCTTGGGATGATTTGTTTACGTAAACACAGACACCTGCTTGGAATGCATTTTCAGCACAATATTGTAAAATGCTTAGGGTTATAGGGAAAAAAAATACAGGACTTAATTTCTAATTTATACCAATCAAATAACAATTAAAATACAGACTATACTTAAATACTTATAAATAAAGCTTATATGTAAACTGAATTTTCCAAGAAAATTAGAAGTTGTGTCCTACTTTCGTTTTTGAAATAATATAAATATTTTAACTTTTTAAACTTTTTCTTTGGAATAGTTGTGCTGTGAAAATAAGAGATACATCTGCATTTTTGGGGTAGCATTTTATCCATAGGAACTGCATTTCTCTCAGGATTTTCCCCCCAAATTTGGGGGGGTGTCTATTACAAGACTACGGCCTTTACACCTGACAATATGGTACTTCGTCAATATATCTAAATGTTAAAGGCGACAGCATGTATTTTCTTCTTCTCATGTATAAGATTTTAAATAAATTCTGCTTTGTATGAATACAAAAATAGGTTTGATAATAACGGAGCACAATTGGTACCTATGGAAATTCCAAGAGATTTTTGGAAGACCTTGTCTCTAAAAACCACATAGATATTGTCAATCAGAAACTCAAGAATCTTTTTAATATCAACTTCAGAGTACTTGTGTGTACAATCAGTGTTTTTTTACAAATAATTTTGCAAATGACAAGATAAGTTAGTTTTTGAGTTCCACTTTTAATGAAAAAGCAGCTGTCAATAAACAAATCTCTCGTCCATACAAAAAAACAAAAAAGCATACCAAGGGTGATAATCTCAAAACTTAAGCATTGATCTGTTCGAAATAATTTTTTTTTATTGACATACGTTTAAGGATAAACAACAATACTTGATATCATGATTACTTAAATTAGCGGAACTCTTTCATGGAGGTAGGAAACGTCTGTTGGATGGGGGCAGTGTACTATTGAATGCAATGCATGATCGATCATTGTGGAATTTATAAGGACTGATAAGAAAGAAATCCTAGAGAAATATCTTGCTAAACATGCACTGAACCAGCCTAATAAATTTTTGAGAGGAGCTAATCCTGTATGTTGCATTTTTTACGATACTTTTTACTAAGCGGACTTTTCTTATTAAATTCCAAATGAAAATCGTTACTTTTGAAAGTTGATAAAATACTCTAAACTTTCCTTACTTGACAAATCTACTATTTGGAGTTCAACTCTTGGCAATACATTGTAGTTTCAGCATAATGATTGTTCGAATCATTCCATTGTCACCACTGTAATGTTATGCCCCAGAAATCTTGTGAGATTTAGAGCTTCCTTGACTCCCATGCTAATTAAAGAGCGGTTGTAAGTTAGATAATTGTGAGATACTCGCAATACTACGTATTGCAAAATACTGGTACTTTTAATTCAATTCACATGTGCTCACCTTTAAAATGCATTCACAATTCTTTATAAAGTTGGTGACATTATGTATGAAAATATAAAGTCTAGTCACATATTTAAAGTATGCTTGTGGTACATGTATGCATTTTTTTTTCTTGAACAGTAAAGGAAGGGATGAGAGAGTTCATTGAGTGCCATAAACTTTCATTTGTATGTTATTTTTTAGAGATGGAGTAGTACACAAGCACAATTTTTTAAAGAAAGAAAAGTCAATGGAATGAAGAAAAGGTGAAGTGAATTGTCACTCATTATATTTTAAATTTAATGTGGACATGGTCATTATTTTAGTTATGTCATAACCTTCTTATCAATTTTAAGCAGTGCAGACAGATGCATTTCTTATTGCTTTGAATAGAATAAATTATCAAAAAAGTTTGTATATGTTTTTTGATATAGAATTTATATTAAAAAAAAAATTATCAATTACTGCAGTTTTGAATTTCAGTACACTAGAAATTTTTCTGCCCTGCCATGAATATGGCTGGGGCATATAGAGTTTGTCATGTCCGTCTTCCGTCCTTTCAACCTTCTGTCTGTCCTTCCATTCCGCTTTGCTTTTAGCTCAGTTCAAAACTAAGTTTCAAAGAAACTATTCAAGATATTTTTATCAATCTTCATATGCTGATACATATTGATAAGAGGTATTCAATTTCATCAACGTACCTTGACCTTTCCTTTAACTTTGACCTCACTTTTCTTAAATTAGTGTTTAGCTCAGTTTTAAAGAAACCATTCAAGATAGTGTAATCAAACTTCATATGCTGATACATACTGAATCAACATTTTTTTACCTTGACCTTTCCTTTGACCTTGACCGTACTTATCTTAAATAAGTGTTTAGCTCAGTTTTAAAGAAACCATTCAGGATAGCGTAATCAAACTTCATTTGCTGATACATACTGATGAGAGCTATTCAACTGCATCAACATTTTTTGATCTTGATTTTTCCTTTGACCTTCACCTCACTTTTTCTAAATTAGTGTCAAACTTCATATTCTGATACAGACTGATGTAAGGTATTTGACTGTATCAACATTTTTGACCTTGACATTTCATTTGACCTTGACTTCATTTTTTTGAAATGGTGATTGGCTCAGTGTTAATTAAACAGTTTCCATTCAAAATATTTTTATCAAACTTATTTTGCTTATGCGTATTAGTGAGAACTATTCAACTGCATCAAAAATGTATGACCTTGAACTTTCCTGTGACCTGGACCTCACTTTTCTTAAATTTGCATTTTGCTTAGTTTTAAAGAAACCATTAAATATAATTTTATGGAGACTGTATAAACCGAGGTCCCATGTCACAGTAGGTGCTGGCATAAAAAGATCCCTCACTGCTTAATGGCCCTTAGTGCCGAGTATAGGTCAAAATTTGCAGCTCTCCACCGGCAAGTGGTGGCATCTCTATATGAGTGAAAAATTCTCGAGAGGGATGTTAAACAATAAACAAGCAAATAAAAATTAATATACCCTCAGCGGGGCATTCATGTCCTATGGACATATTTCTAGTTTTGCCCTTTTTTACATTTGTACATGGATATACTTTTTATTTTTGCTCTGTAAACAACAACAACAAAAACATTATACCATATAATATGCACAAAATTATATGCTAGGAATGTATTGTGAAAGATGCATTTCAGCTGACAAATGTAGCATCTTTAAGCCAGCTTTTTAAAAAATTTTCTGAATGACTTTCAGGTACTTCTTTTATATTTGCAACTCATTTATAGGGATGTATTAGTATGGTAGCCTGTCTGCCAACACGTTGTAGATGAGATTCTAGCACATATTGTGTGAAATGGTTCTCTTAATTGACATGAGAAGGTCACTATTTTTTATCAAGATAAAAATTACTTGTATGTCTTGTAATAACATTATTTAATATATCCCTTTCATAGCACACATGTTCGTTTCAAAGAGAAGAAAACATTTATAATTTTTCAAGGTCAATAATCTCATGGATGAAATGCAAACTGTACTATTTGAAATAGGTGGTATAGGTATTTCAGAGTCTGTATTACAGCTTGCCAGTTTATTGTTGGAGGGAATATTCTCATCAAATAAACTATGTAAAGATTTGCTTTTTAATGCAAAGTATTTTTATAAGTAATAACTTCATTTCAACTTACAATGAACAGTTAATCAGTGCATCTCACTTTGTATCTAATGCATTTTTAGAACACAAATTTGTGGTTTAAAACATGTTGTAATAGTTTAATAATGCTATTCATTTTTTTAATTGACAAGAAATGAAAATGTAATGATTATTTCAAAATAGTGTTTTATTCCTCTTGTGTATATTTATAGATATGTAAAAGATTGTTATTTTTATTGATGTTATTTTTGTGTACAAAATACTAGTTATTTATTACTTTATACAAAACTAATGTTGTGAAGATTGATAATAATAGAAATCCTTATGCATGTATTGAACAGTATACAAATGTCACCAATGTAATACACATTTACAAATAAAATGAAATTTTACATGACTTGCACATATTTGCATTATTTGTTACAGTTATAACAAATCTAATTCATTGTATTTATTGTTTCCAATTTTTATTGTCTATTCAAACATGGAAAAATTATATGTGTAATGATGTTAAAGACACAAGAATATGAATTAAAATAAGACTGTATGAACTACCTTTAGATTTATGAATTCAGTAGACAGTGACTGTGACAAATGTGTATTTAGGATAGAGATCTTAGACATGAGAAGAAAAGGGGTTGTTTTACAAACTTTTTTTGCATGGGGAAATATTGACATTTTTATACAACAACAAATGAAGTTACTGGAATTGTGAAGTCTACGTGTCTTCTGTGAGTTGACATCTTTTGAAACAAAGGTAGCTTGGGGCCAGAAATATTCTAGACCCAGTAGTAATGGTCTTTTGCACAAGGTCATAGTCACTGTATATCAAAGTATTAAATACTTACCAATAATTGTTTGTAACCTCAGAGTATGATCCTAACACAGGTTAATACAGGTCAAGGCCATAGGGTTTAGAAATGTAATAAATATTCAGATAAACACATAATTCTGTTTGTTTATTTGTTTGTTATACATCCTTTAAGAATTTTTCACTAGTATTGAGACACCACAACTTGCTGGTTGAGGGCTGCAAATATAGACCTGTACTTCTGAGCAGTGAGAGGTCTTTTCTTGTCCCAGCATATACTGCAACAAGGGAATTTGGTTTCATTGGAAGAACCGGTTTCCATGTCCTTCAGTGGGATTTGTACCTATGACTTAAGGAACAAGTCCTTACTCCACTACTCTAGGGCAAATGCTTTGACCACTGCGCCAAGCGGGCAATCACATTATTGTTATACTAGATGTAAATCAAGGCGAAGGGATAATTGTGACTTGGGGATGTATAACAACCCTGCATCAAGTTCAATTTTTGACCACTATAAAATAACTTCCAAAGATTATATTATCCTAGGGTTCATTATGCTCAGAGTATATGACATAAATTGGATATATAAAATTCTAAAATACAATTTTTTTTTTTAGAAAAGTACAAGGTTATAGTTTCAAGAGGTCATATCTAGCATGTACAGGTGATTGTGGCTTAGATGATGATTCTATACCGTAAGTCATCATGTGACTACGACGTTTTAAATCAATGTGTTTCTTTGGTGGTGGATGAAATATTTTCTTAACATAACAATTACTATCGGTCATTTACTATATTTCCATAAGATTCAGGACATGAAAATTTGTCTACGAATAGACATCACCCTATTAGTTCCTTCTAGTTAAAATAAGGAATCACCATACTTGGTTTTAAAGTGCCTAATATTTTACTTAAGATAAATGCAAATTGACCAATAAATACTGGTATGAGAAGTACATTTATGCATGTGTAGTTTTTTATTTAAATAATTAGAAAAAAGAAAATGGTCTACATAATCACGTATATATATATATTCTGGTCTCCTTTATGCATTATATATACTTGGTCTACTTTAACCCTTCGGGATCCTCATAAAATATATACATGTCTACCTTAAACCTCCAATGTATTTACAAAATATTAAGGAGACCAGAAATGTCGTATATTTTTCAGGAAGCAACATTTAGGGCTGAGGGGGTAAAATTTTCATTATTGAAGCCTATTGGAATAAATTTGGGTGAAAGTGTGAATCAGAATGTCTCAAATAAAAGAAATGAAAAATGTCTACTTAATGCCTCAAAATAAGTGCGGTCTACTTTATGCCAAAGTCCACCTTATATATATATATATATATATATATATATATATATATATATATATATATATATATATATATTAAATAAAAAAAATGATAATAATTTAAAGTTTGTTGATATACTTATCTGCATCTTATAATTTTTTTTCTCCAGTGACAAATTTAGATGATATTTTTGCCTGTAAAAGCAATAATGATTTGTATATAAAAAGGTATTTTTGTCAAATCAAGCAATAGCAGTTCAAAGATTCGTCCACTTTCAGTTAGTAATTTGTATCAAAATTACTGGTCTTCGAACGATGAAAAGTGTCATCTCAGTCTCGGTAATGAATGTTAATGGCAAGGATGGTAAAGGTATTTAGTTTATTACAACAATTTATCTAGAATATCTTCCGTAAAGATCACTAACAAAGCTCAACATAATTGTAATGACAACGATCCAAATCCCGGCACTGTATCTATAGCTACACGCCATTGTATGTTGTAGTTCAAACATACAATTTTCATCTAAACCTGGCATTAGTTAGACTATTCAAACGAAAGATGATTCATTTTTATGGATTCATTTGACTTTTAGTCCAAAGTATTATCCTGTCACCTTTTATTTTTAATTTGTAGCAATACCAGGAGTAAATGATTGAGCGATACTCATTCCATTTTATCCGTGGCATTAAGATAGACACCTATTAACGTAGTTGGACTGATATTAGGACTGGGAGAAGGAGTATTAGAGCAAATTAGTGCAAATTTTCTTGTCTTCATATTAGTGCTGCAAAAGGATTTTAATATTAACTGTTACCATAAATAAATGTAATATTCATACATTGTATTTCACCTTGCAATCCTTTCGTATTATGAAATACTTCTAACAAAACCATAATAACGGAAAGTACTAAAAACGATATGACATTTGTAATCCTTGAAACTTTGCTATATCTTTTATAATTTAAATACAACATTTCATAAACAAAGTGATTGCGTATTTTCAGCTTGCTCACTATTTATTAATTTCACATTTCGTATTAAGAAACAATGTACATTTACATGTATTAATTTTACAGGAAGGAATACTTCAAAGCTACTTTTTGTAAGTCTTTTAAAAGTAAAGTAAACATCGAATGATCATGGTCTTGTACTGCATGGTTTCATAAATCAAACGATGTGTTGTTTTCATTTGTCCATTCGTGTTGTCATGTTCTATTAATATGACGTTGAAACAAGCATTGCGAGTTATTTGTAAGGAGCTGTATAAGAGCAAAGGTCAGAGAAGAGCGTGATAATGATTAAAATCAGCTTCCACGAACCAATTTCTATTTACCTTTGTTAATAGCTGTAGCATTTCACTTAAAATACAGGCAGTTAAATGACTATTATTTTCTTAGAAAGGAAAACTTTCAAATTAACTAGATATCTTTAATACAACCATAACAATTCTAAAAGACTCTAAACATGAAAAAGTAAACATAACGAACAATGATTGATCTAAAAAAAAATACAAACATTATAAATCTGTGAACAGGGCATAAAACACGGACCCCCAGAAATTCAGAGGTGGGATCAAGTGGCTACGAGGAGTAAACATCCCCTGTTGACCGGTCACACCCACCATGAGCCATATGTTTTTATCAGGTAGACGGAGCGCTCCGTAGTCATATTTCGTATAAAACTAAAGGTCTAACAATTGGAATGAAACAAGTCATCCAAAATACCCAATAATAGGTTATATTTATAAACAAGGTCATTATAGCGACCATAGAATCTATGTTGACTTTAACTGAGGTTGTTGAAATCCCTGAAACATCATCTTTTCTGTCAGTAGCTTGCCTCGGTTT